CACACACACACACACACACACACACACACACACACACACACACACACTTGAAAAGGAGAAGGAAGGAAGGTCGTGGACCCACCAGGTCCCACTACAGCTCTGCCATCTGCACAGGCACAGGGGGCCCCTTGTAGCCACGCCTTCCTCTCTGGGGGCTGTCTGTGCAATGAGCTGACAGAGCTGTCACCCTGGCCCCTGCCAGCCTCAGGACCCGAGGTCAGCATGATGCCCCCTCCGCTGCTCCCCTCCCCTCGGGATGCCACCACACCACACGCACCCCGCACCAGCCCCGTATCCTGGCTTTCTCCAGCTGGCCATCCCCACAGCCCAGCACTCAGAACTCAGGGTTAGCCTCACGCCGGCACTCACAAATGTGTCCGGTGATGCTGGGCTACCCGCACTGAGGCCCTGGCTGCTTGTAATGTAGGTGCTTCCTTCAGAGGGTGGCTACTGCAGAGGAGAAGCAAGCTGGAGGGCTGCCTTCTACCGAGCATGCCTGTGGAGGCTACCTGTGCCACTGACTTGCTGTGCAACCTCCGTGAGGGAATCTTGCCCTCTCTGAGCGTCACGTGTATCGTCCTGCCAAGCGACTGTCCCCAGTGCTAAACGAAGCCTGCTGGGAAGGCCAGGTCGAGTTACCTTCTGGGTTTTCAGTGGCGGCCTGGGAGTGGGGCTGCGCTGAGTCAGCCGCTGCTAGCATTATGCTGTTGACTTGGTGAAGGGCAGGGGTTTCCCTTCTAATCCACAGAGCCACAGGCATTTCAACCCTGTGCTTCGAGGATGGGAGCTTCAGGCCCCGGGGGCGAGCTTTGGGGCTGTTTGATGGATTAGATAGCCTAGATAGTCAGGGTGGCCTCACACTGCAGGCCACGCTGGGGAGGCCACACTTGTCCCAGTCTCTGTTCGTTTTCCTGTCCCATGCCTTGTCCTAAGCCCTGAGCCCCAGCACTCAGTTCCATGTTACGTACAGGAAAGTGCTTACTCAGCGATGCTGATGCTGGGGTGGTCCCTCCACCCTTCCCACCCCGCTCCCCACCTCTATCCCACACTCCCTCCCTCACACCCACCCCTACCCCCACTCATGTAGGAAGTGGTTGTATGGCTGCTTTTTAGCCCAGAAAAGATTCAAAGCAGTAACCAGATCCTGCTGTTGGGGGGTGGGGGGGAGGGAGACCAAGTCAGATGTTGGGAGTGATGAGAGATGCGTCACACATCACAAGGACTGGGCCTCCTGTTCCCCACATCTGGAGGGGTGTGCAGACCTTGTTTGATTTCCTTTCCCTCTGCCGGGAAGATGCAGGCCTCTTGGCCAGAGTTCAGAGCAGAGGAGAGGCATGATTCAGAGCTGGGAGGCCCACATGTGTGAGAATAGATTAATAGAGGCAGGAGAGGCAGGCCAGGGGTGACTCAGGGCAGATCAAAGCACAGGGGGCCCAGGGAGACACCCATGGACCCACAGAGGCCAGGGTGTAGGCCGTTGGCCTGCCAGACACTGCTTGGAGTCACGGAGTCCCCAAGGGGAGCAGAAGAGAGACTGAGGACTCCAGGCGTCTGTGGGACACCACTGTACTGTCTGCAGGGCAGGGTGCCTGTGGTAGCCTGTGGACACTCGGGGTTCCTCCGGGCTCTGCTGCTGTCTGCGCAGCTCTACGCAGGCTTCCTTCCTCTCTGGGCTTCTGGACTGAATCACCAAGTTCTGTCAAGGGGAGTTCTGAGAGCGCCAGCAAGAGAGCCTAACCATGTCTGGGAGGGAAGGGAGTGAATGGGAGACTGAAAAGATGGTAGACAGGGGAGCAGGGAGAGGGGAAAGAGGTGGGTGAGCCGGGAGGAGGAATGAGCGAGTGGAACCCTGGGAGAAATATGGCAGTCCACAGAGAGAGGTTCACAGCAAATGCGCTCAGAGAAGAGGCCGGTCAACTCCAGGGGCCTTGTGGGCCACTGCGCCCTGCCACTTTATCCCAAGAGAATCTATGTCAAGAAGAGGGTGAACTTTCTACAAGGGGCACCAGATTCAGCAGCAAGTTCAAACCTCAGGCTTACATAAGCCACTCACGTGTGCCATCTCATCTATAAGTTAGGGGTGCAAGCACGTTCCTCATAAATCCTCATGCGCACAAAGCCCTTAGCAGCATTCTGTATAAAGTAGGTGCTCCGTAGGTGCAGAGAATCTGCCAATAATGCAAGCAGCAGCCTGTTTGCCTGCCCCATTCCCTGATGTTTTCCTGAAGCTGCCCTGGCCTCCCAACCCCTCAGGGCTGCCACCTGAACCACACAGGTGGGGTCAAAAGCCAACAGGGCCTGAGTAGGGTGGCGTTTGAGCTCCTTTCCCCCACTTTCTGTGTCATGTTTGGAGCTGCCATGGGGCACCAGTTCCTAGAGCAACATAAAGGGCAGGGGTGCGAGAGGCAGAGGTGCGGGAGGGTCTCCACAGCACAGCGAGCTGCAGAGGAAGCAGTGAGGCGCTTGCTCTTCCAGTCACAGCTGACACACTTCTCTGCCCTCTGTGAACTGTCAGGACGAGGGTTGTTTGATCGACAGAAAGGGAACAGGCCCAGAGAGGAGTAACATTTGGCCAAAGCAACACATTCGGCCAGACTAGAACCAAACCCAGGACCAGAGGCACACCGGAAACAGGTCATAGAAGGTCCTGATGCCTCTGCTGAGACCCCTGAGGCCTGTCTCCTTACCTCTACTCAGTTGTGTCCTGCCACAGTGACCCTACCCACAGCCCTCTCAAGCCTCAGGTGTTTGCCTGTGGTCCCCCACGGCCTGCTGAAGTGGCCTCACCCAAGCTGAACAGTGCTGGGAAGAGGCCTTCTCTTCCAGGAGGCCCTCCCTGCTCTCCTCACACCAGCTCCTCACCCACACCAGCCTTCTCTCTCTGTCACTGTCACAGGGCTTTTGTCCTTTTCTCCCTATAGGTCTAAGAGCTCCTGCAGGGTGGGAACCAGAGCTGGCTTCTCTCTGGACCCTTGTCCCAAGCACAGAAGGGCCTGCCCATGAAAATGATAAAGGATGGGCAGACACATGGTGGACACAGGACCACTGTGAACAGATAAACTCAGAGGACACACTCTCCATCCCTCCTCCGATCCACATCCCCTGCAATGTGGCTACACCGGCTCCTGTCCACAGCTAGTATTGCTTCTTCCACCTCTTCAAGCTGGCCACATCGTCTTCCTCGGCCAACAGACTTTGTCAGGAAAAGCCATGTGCCAATCCCAGGCTAGCACTCAAGAGGCTGACATGCCTCTTGTCTTCTCAGAATCCAGCCATGAGTGTGGACTATCTCAGAGAGACTTTGGGCCAGAGGCCAGATCCTTCCAGTCAAGGTTCTAGAGATGCAGAAAACTAAGCTAATATCAGAAAGCTGCCCACCTCACCCTCAGCTGGTGCTTGCTGTGTGTGCTACCAGGGGATGTCTCTTCCAGCTCATTCTGAGGCTTGTAACCAATGGTTTCTTTATATGGGACTGGACTTTGAGATTACACGTCATGAAGCAATAGTTAATTGATCGAAGTGCACAAGTAAGTGGATGGAAACAAATTTGTAGTGCCAGCTGCAGAGAGAGAGGGGGTGTGTGGCTCCTGTTCTCACCTTATACACATCATGGCTGTCTAGGACAGCATCGAACAGAGTGTAGAGGTCATTGAGGAAGCCCACCACCTCAATGGGCTCACTCAGGGCTGCGATGGTGGTGAAACCCACGATGTCACTGAAATAGATGGTGGCCTGGTTGAAGTACTCAGGCTCCACTGTCGTTCCCATCTTTAGAGCGTGGGCGACAGACCTGAAGGGATGAGAGAGACCACGTGAGGACCCTGTTTTTACATCTTGAAGTCTGGGGATGTGGAAGGGAGGAAGCTCCCCGTTGGCTGGTGTGTCAGCCACGCTGGACAGACCTGTCCTGGCTTTCTGAGAGCAGGTGGCTGCTCCTGGCTTCCGGGGTGTGGGGCAGTGGGAGCTCAATATATGAGGAAAGGCTAGAAATATGTTAGATAAACGAGAAGAAATGAGGCTGAGGGGATGGCTCAGCCAGGAAGGGTGTGTGCAAGCATGAAGATCTGAGATTGGTTCTCAGAGCCCACATAAGAAGCTGAGGCTGCTGTGTGTGCTTGTAATCCCAGTGCCGAGGAGGTAGCCACTGGAGGATGCCTGGGTTGCCAGTCAGTCAGCCCAGTTGCAGGCCATGAAGAGAGACTATCTCAAAAAAAACCAAGATGAAAAGTATTCTACAAAATGCCACCTGGGGTGACCTCTGTCCTCACACACTCGCACACACATGTGCGCTCAAGCACCCACAATTGTGTAGGGGACACAGAGGCGTTTGTGCTCACAGACATGCACCGGGGGAAGCTGGAATGTTAAGCACACAGGGGTGTTCCTTCAAGGGAAGGGATGCAAAACCCGTCTTCACTGGAAAGGCTGGGCACACAGGCTTGCCAGCAGGCTGAGCTGTGTGCAGTCTGGGTGGCCAGAGCTGGCACCACACCGTCCCCCAGACCCTCCTCTTAACAGCATTCTTCTCGGCCACTCTATAGGGCTGTCCTCACGGAAGGGGTCACACATGCTTTACAAAGAGTTCCAGCACAGTCAAGTCTGGTCTGGATTTAGTTTGGTCCTCAAAGAGATTTAGGTTTGCTTTGTTGTGCATGTGGGATTGAGCTAAAAGTCGCAGGAATGGTTTTTCACCGGATTGTGCTGTGCTTAAATGTGCCTAATGTAAACAACTCGGGATCAGGCTCCCAAAGCTGGAACCAATGCTGGCTACTGAGTGGTGTGGCCCCAAACTGGCTGGAGGACCCCCAGTGTTTTCATAATAGCATTTATGCCCCTGAGACCATGTAACAATCGAAATTCACTCCTTGACTTTTTTTTTTTTTTTTTTTTTTATGAATTACAAAAATAGAGGAATTCCAAGGACTGAGTGAAGGTTCTATGTGTCCTAGTTGTTTTAGTTCCTGTGGAGAAGTTGGGCCTGTTTTAATTTTTCCCCATGAGAGCGCCACTGGTCAATCCATCCTGGGTCAATTTCTCCCTTGATTCTGGGGCTGCAGTTGCCCCTGGGAGTCAAATTTGGATCACTATTCCTTAGCCTGGTGTCTTCTCTTTTTGCATCAGGGGTAAAGAGGAGGAGCCTGGGGCCCGGCCAGAGCTTGGAGCCTCAGGCTGGACAAGCTGATACATGGGCCAGAGCAGCCTCAAGGCCAGCTCCTTACCAACACTGCCACAACCTCCACAGCGGTGGGAGCCACCCATTCCCTCAGCAAGCCCCACCCCCGGCCGAAATGTGTCTAGAGGATCTCCTCTTTAATTATGGGCCTCTTGAAGAGAGCCCATTACTGTAGTCCACATTGCAAAATAACTGACAGTGATTTTATCGCTTTTTTCATGGGCTCTTTTTACACTAACTCCTTTGTGTTTCCGATTGTTGACATCAGTGGTTCCTTGTTCAGGAAACCAAGGATTGAATTTTGCAGTCATTTGTACAAAGTCGCAGAGCTATTGCTCAAATATTGTGTTCCTTTGGATGTTTTTTTTTGTGTTGTTGTAGTAGGGTTTTTGTTGTTGTTGTTGTTTGGCTTTGTATTGCTTTTCCTTGTTTTATTTTTTCAAGACAGGGTTTCTCTGGGTAGCCTTGGCTGTCCTGGAACTTGCTCTGTAGACAAGACTGGCCTCAAATTCATAAGAGATCCACCTGCCTCTGCCTCCCACATGCTGGGATTAAAGATGTGTAGCACCCGTGCCCATCGCTCCCCTGGATTTTAACAGATAACTCAATAACTGCATAAAATTCATGGCCTCAGAGGAGTGAGAAGAACCCATGCTATTTCACTCTCTCACTCACAGTCACTATTTCTTGGGTGAGAGGACCAAACTCTCTCTCTCTCTCTCACACACACACACACACACACACCCCGGTTCTATTTAAAGAAAAAAATCTTTCCTTCTCTGAGGGTCAAGCCCTACACCTTGGGCATCAGTTGAGAGAGTTTCTGTGACCTTTTTGGGCAGCAGCAGGACAGCCGCTGGGGGCAAGAAGGCAGTTTGGGGCCACACCACTCAGTAGCCAGCGTTGGTTCCAGCTTTGGGAGCCTGATCCCGAGTTGTTTACATTAGGCACATTTAAGCACAGCACAATCTGGTGAAAAAACCATTCCTGCGACTTTCAGCTCGGTCCCACACGCACAACAAAGAAAACCTAAATCTCTTTGAGGACCAAACTAAATCCAGACCAGACTTGACTGCGCTGGAACTCTTTGTAAAGCACGTGTGACCCCCTTCCGTGAGGACGGCCCTATAGAGTGGCCGAGAAGAATGCTGTTAAGAGGAGGGTCTGGGGGACGGTGTGATGCCAGCTCTGGCCACCCAGACTGCACACAGCTCAGCCTGCTGGCAAGCCTGTGTGCCCAGCCTTTCCAGTGAAGACGGGTTTTGCATCCCTTCCCTTGAAGGAACACCCCTGTGTGCTTAACATTCCAGCTTCCCCCGGTGCATGTCTGTGAGCACAAACACCTCTGTGTCCTTCCACACATATGTGCACACACAGTGGGTAGGAATGAATTACTGGTTCTCAGAGCACCTCCTGGGGTCTAGAGCCCCAGAGGAGAGTGAGCTAGAGGCACACTGCATCCCCAGGCCACTCACGGGGGGAGCATCTGTGACAGCAGCCTTTCTGTCTTCCGCCTCTCCAATTCCAGCTCCTCGGTCCGCTCCTGGACCAGACCCTCCAGGCTTTGGGAATACTTCTCCAGCATCCGCAGCATGGAGTCTGCCACACTTGTCCTCTTGCCTGGGTTGATGCTTTTGAACTGAAGAGAAGACAAGATTGCAGTTTCACTCGTGAGAATCAGCTTCCCCTGCGCACAGCTTGGAGTGAGCCAGGCAGAGGCCTGGGGAGAGGGAATGAAGTGGAGGCAGATGTGTGAACCAGCAGGAGACAGGGCGCTGCGGTATGTGGGGGAACCTCTGAATGGGGCGGGCATGTAGGACCGGAAGCTTCGCAGAGGAGTGTGTGTCCAGGCAAGCATTATCATCAACAAACAGCTGGGTTACCCACGTCTCACACTAACCTGTGGATGGATAGATAGGACCATTATGGGTGGATGAATGGACGAATGGGGGCATGATGAGTGGATGGATGGACGAGTGATGGATAAGTGATGAACGGATGGACAGACAGGCAGATGGACAGACAGATGGATGGACAAATAGGTAAATAAACTATATAAAACTTCATTTTGCTTCTATCTTTCTAAATATCTGAGGGCATCAGGACCAAAAGACTAAAGATAAAAAATAAAAAGGTTAAATACAGAAATAAAGTTTGCAGACAGAAACTGATCATTGTTTAGATACAAACTTCTTACCACAAAACCAAATGGATACACAGATGACAAAATCCACTAATGCCCCAGACAACAGAGGTTGAAACCCATTGTTGTAAAGAAATACAACTACTACCAGTGCCCAGCAGAGAGAAGCCCTTTGGGGTCGTCACATTAGGACACTGGGCCTTAACAGACACCTCTTTGCAGCCGACATATAAGAAGCTAAGAGAAAGGGGGAGTTTAGCTACCCAAGGAAGTGAGCAGGAGTTGGCATAGTTAGTTCAGGCCTTTGGCCCTGCCCTCCCTGCTGTGTGATGCGACCCCAGCTTTGTCATGCCAAGCGCAATGTATGCCCACCCAACCTTCTTTGCCATGAGCTTCGGGCAGGGGCCGTTCTTAGTCATCCTTTCTCATAGCCAGTGCCTCATGCCCTGGCTTCCTAGCTAGGATGACCTCTGACCTCCGCAGAAAGATGACGGCCTGGTGATTTAGGGACCTGTCACCCATTCTACCTCATCTGTCCTCCCCTGTCACTGTGACCCTGGGACCTTGGTAACTCTGTAATCCAAATCCCCATCTGTGAAGTGGGTGCTGCTCATGATGCTACAGTATGCGTGTGTGTGTGTGTGTGTGTGTGTGTGTATGGCAGGATTCCAAAGAGCCCTGTAGGTTGTCTCTGTCATGCCCTGTCATGCTGCCTTTGTCCCTACTCACTTGACCCTCTGACTTATTGAGCTTCACCTTGGTAACGAGCTGCTGTGGCTGGGGACTATGAGACCAGAACAGGAGGCAGAGATGTACACCTGGGTTTGATGGGCTGGTCCTGGAGGAGAGCTGTCCTGCCCGGTCAGGCCCGCACAGCCCTGAGGACTTGTGCAGGCTTGCCTCACCCCTCCCAGTGAAGGCCCTAGGCAGGCGAGAGGGACCCCAGAGTCCAGCTAATCTTCTCACTGACTTGGGAATCAGGGCTGTCTCCATAGTCACTAAGGGAGCCTCTGCTCAGGTGCTAGGCCTGGTCCTGGTTGAAGCTCCCCTAGAGCCCATCAGACAGACAGACAGACAGGTCAGCAGGTCAGGTCTCCTGGGTACTTGTCTCTGCCTGTTTATCTTCTACAGGCATTGTGTATCAGAGGTTGCCTTGAGGATGGAGTGACTGAAAAGAAGCTAGACATCCAAGATAGCACTGGAAAACACAGTTCTACGACTGTCTGCCTCAGAGTGCTGCTGCTGGCCTGTGTCCCCTGACTTCTTGCCATTTGTAGGCCCTGGAAATTTATGAGGCCTGCGTGGGGCCAAGTGAGGCCTGTGGACGGGATTGCTCATAAGCACCGCTCCTCTGGGGAGCACTGACCTGCGTGTAGATCTGGTCCATGCTCGGCCTGTCATCTGGAGCTTCCTCCCAGCACTGCCGCATCAGCAGGATGCACTCTCGGGGACCCTGGTCAGGGGACACCAGCGGCCGACACAGAGGAGGGGGAGATGCCACCTTCTGGATGATCTCTGTAGCAAACCCATGGGTACCTTGGGTCAAGGTACCCTGAGGGATTATGGGAGGGGTCTTGAGGTAGGTAAGGGAAGGGGAAATTGGACCCTAGAGATGCTCCCGAGCTCCATGTCTCCTGCATGGCTGGTCACACTGTTTTTCTATTCTCCTGGGTCTCCCTCAGGCCATGGCCAGAGGAAGGGTCTGAGACTTGGGCCAGGAGGGCTGGATTTCAATTTCTGAATCTGCTACCACTCTCTTTGGGGTAGCAGAGAAGATAGTAACCCCCTGCCCTAGACCTCAGTATCTTCATCTATGAAATGGGATCAGCAAGAGCCTCCTCTTGAAGGGTGCTGAGGGAGAAGTTGTGAGAGGAAGCGCCTAGCGTCTGGCAGGCTCTCCCCCAGGCTGCTGTTCTATCCTTGTGCTTGAAACCTGGCTACACAGCTCTTCCTACCAGTCTGAACATCCAGAGACCACACCACTCCTCAAAGAGCGAGGCAGACACAGCCCTCATAATCCAGGCGTCCCTGCTCTGCAGAGTGAGGACCATTCCATTATAGCAAGGCCAGAGAAACCAATGTTGTAGCTCTCCGGCTCTGCCACTCTATGCCTCAGTTCCACACCCCACCCCAGACACCTGCCTCTGGCAGAGCCAGGAGTTCTTCAAGACTGGGAAGACAGGGGCTGGGCTCCATGCTCTGAGCCTGCAGATCAAAGCAGGGCTTCTGCCATCTCTGCATTCTATACAGGTTGGGGAATAGCAGGGGAACCTCCAGGGAGGCCTGGGATCCTCCTCTCACAGCCGCTACAGTCCCCTTCTTTCTAACCTAGGTTGGCCACCTTGGTGGGGATAGTGAGTGATCACTGTCTCTTTATGATTTTTTTAAGGAGGTTTTTATTTGTTGTTTGTTTTGTTCAAGACATGGTCTTCTACAGGCAGGCTTCAAAATTATTATGTAGACAAAGATGATCTCAGATTTCTGATCCTCGTACGTCCTAAGTCTTAATTCCAATTCTATAGGCGCATGCCACCATGCCTGGTTATTCCATGTGAAGGTTCACACCCAGGGCTTTGTTCATGCTAGGCTAGCACTCTACCAAAGTAGCTACAACCCTAACCCTGATTGTTGTATTTTTGAAACAGGGTAGCCCATGGCTTGTCTGGAACTCACAACGTAGTTAAGGCTGTACTCAAATTTGCTATTCCCCAGTCTCTGCTTCGTAATTGCTGAAGCTGCAGGTCTGTGCTATCACACACTGGTTATTAATGTCCAACATTACAGACAGGGAAACTGAGTCTCCTAAGGGTGAAGTGGAGGCACCTATATAGGCCGGCATAAAGCAGACATGAAAGTAGGCTTGATTTCAATTCAGCCTGTCTAGAGGGTCCCAGACTCAGGCGTCAGACTTCAAGGGCCTTAAACCATAGGGGCCGAGGGTCTGTGTGCTTGCCCAGAAGTGTGTGCAGATGGAAGCGATAGAGACCACGCACACACTCACAGCTGTGTTTTAAAAGCATACCGGTCTCATTGTGATGAGTGAAATGTAAATCCATTTCAAAGCATCTCGGATTTCTGAGTATCATCTGTCATTGGGGCTGCTGCAGTCAGCAGATAATAAAAGCTGAAGACCGCGTGGGGGCTCTGGCGTCTGGGACAGGGTGTGGGGAGGAGTGGGGGGAGGGAGGTGCATGTGCATGGATGGCATGTATATAGAGGCCAGAGGTCGATGCTGGGTGTCTCCTTTAATTAATCTCCATCTTGTTTTTTCAAACGGATCTCTCACTAATCCTGGAGCTTGCCAATTTCCCTAAACTATGTGGTGGGCACTCCCCAGAGATGCCAGCTTTTTGTGTGGATGCTGGAGACCCACACTCAGGTCCTCATGGTTGTGCGTCAAAAGATTTACCGGCTGAGCCATCCTCCCAGACCAGGATGTCACTATTTTTGAGGTTAAAAAAATGCAAGCATGAGGGGAACAATGGCCCTGGGCTGGTCTCCAGGTCCCTTGCTGTGCCAGGTCCACTGTTCACACCCAGCATGCCTCTGCTCTCAACAGTGTTGGCTTTGGGTCCCTCAGGATGCTGTGCCTGGATGGGGAGGCTACATCCAAATCCCAGTTTCCTCCCTGAGCAGTCCCTGCCTGACTTTGAGTATTGCTTAACTCGTCTCTGAAAAGGGCTCAACATCCACCTCCCAGGGCACCAAATGGAGCCCTACAGCTCTGAGATCCTTGGAGCCCACAAAGGGCCCTATGCACACAGGCCTGCTCACAGTTAAGCTTTAGGCATGTGTGTCCAGCTTTCCTGAAGGCCACAGAACTTCCTAGCTACCCAAGACGGCAGGCAGGGAGGCCAGGGAGGTGAGGGGAGCACGTACCTTCTGCTGAGAGCCCCGAGGAGTGGTAGGGTGGGCCTCGGGTCAGTACCTCCTGCAGGACAATGCCCAGGCTGAAAACATCGCCTTTGAAGGTGGCTTTCCCCGGGACCCCTGGCCCCCTCAGCAGCTCAGGAGCCGTCCATAGAAGCTCTGCAATCACAGGGAAAGGTCATACTGCTGTCAACCCCTGCATCTGAGAGGACCTAAGTGCATTTGTTCTCTTAGATTCCCAGAACAGAGAAGCCACTAGTTCCAGGTCCCAAAACAGAAACTGTGGGGCCCTGGAGGCCTCCTCCTCCCTTTGCTTCACAAGCACCAATGGATCACACACTACTGTTGGTCCCTACCCCCACACTGACCTTCTGGGGCTGGGTGAGGCCTAGGAGAACAATGGGATTCCAGGAACTCGGCATAACCATAATCAGTGATCTTGAGCACGAAGCGACTGTCCACCACACAGTTCCTGGACTTGAGGCGGCCATGGGGGAAATGTCGATGGTGCAGATACCGCATACCCTGGGCGGAGGATGTGTGGGGTTAGTGAGGAGTGAGAAGGACCATGGAATATCCACAGAACCTAGAGGCCTTCTGGCCTCATCTGTTTTTTTTGCCTTGTTAGATAGATGCCAAAGCTGTGGGGAATCTGAGCACCACCCTCCCCCTTGACTCTTAGCTCCTGGGGAGGCTCTCACTCGGATCAAATCCAGCAGTAGGGAGGCCTTGAAGGTCCAGTCAAGCCTCAGGGCCTCATTCTGCAGCAGTTCCTCCAGGCTGCCACGGGTACAGTGCTCCAGCACCATCGCACTAAGCCCAGAGCCCACAAAGAGGCCCAGGAAGGCAGTGACATTCTCATGACGCATCTCCCGCATCTGCAGGGGCAAAAGGCACCTGAGAGTCTCCCCGGGGGCCTCATCAAGGCCCCCAGGATAGATGAGTAATGAGGTGGCTGGATCCAGTGGACAGATGGGTGGCTGGATGGGCAGGTGGACAAGGTGATAAGTGGATAGATAGATAGATAGATAGATAGATAGATAGATAGATAGATAATAAATAGATAGATGGATGGATGGATGGTCCATAGGTGGATGGATAATTTGCTGGATGGATTGATGGGTAGATGAACATAAATGGACAGGGATTAGAGGAGGGAATAGGTGGGTGGATGATCAGGTAGACATATTGATGGGTAAATGGACAGATGGGTAGAAGAGTGAATGAATGAATGAACAAATAAGTGAAAGCATCATGAATGGATGAGTGGAGGGGCTATAGGTACCTCCACAGGATCAGACCTAGGTCTGTTTCTCAACCTGGCTGACACTACTGACCTGGCAACTATTCATGCTCTCCCTAGAAGCTGGCAGGATTGAGGAGGAAAAGGCAGAAGGGCTCCTGCCCACAGTGAAAGAAAGCAGCCTCCCTAGTGTCTGGGCCCAAGCAGGACGGAGAGAAGACTAGACAAGCAAGGCCTTCTTTACAAAGATGGTTCAGGACTCAGGACTCAGGACTCAGGGGAGGGCTGCCTGCATGTTCTCCCTCTTCTGGGATGCCCAAGAACAGCAGCATCCATGGAGAGACAAGAACAGGCCCGAAGCCTTTGACACTCCTGTCATGGAGAAGTGACCTCTGTCCCTCCCTGAGTGTTGGAGCTCAAATCTTAGGAATTGGTAGCTCCTATTTCCCATCTCTTGCAGCGCCCCAAATAGAGTTCTTCCCTGAGTCCAGGGAGCCCAGCAGCTGCCTTGAGAGTATAAGAAAGAAGTCATATCCCACAGAGCTCAGTCCGCAGCTGCCCCCATTAAATGGAGCTCTTTAGTCCCTCTAGACCAAGAAACCATGAGGTTTTCTAAAATGGTCATGAGAGTAAATATTTTAGGCTTTATACATCTCTGTTCACAAATACTCACGTCTACCACTGTGGCAGGAAAGCAGCTACAGACACTACACAAAGGAGAGACTGTGGCTGCCCAACTTTATTTGTAAAGACAAGCAGTGGGTCAGATTTGGCCTACAGGCCATGGCTTGCCAAGTTCTCACAGCTGAGCCCTGTGGACCAATTCTCACCAATTGCAAATTGACCAGAAGCCACCCAACCGAGACCTGATCAAAACTTACAAAAGTATGTAAGATGCAAAGGCATCATTGTTTTTAGCCACTGTATTTTAATGTACACTGCAATACACCAGAAGCTAGCCAGAGTGCCCCTATAAAGGCTCTGAGAAGTTCTATGGCTACCCCAAGAAACCTTCAAACTTTGATGTCATCCTTTCTTGGAGAAGCTGCTCACACTGGCTTTGAGGAAATGCCTTACTGCCTCCAGTCACTTATTCTCACTGAACTTTGTTTCAGAGAGCTGATGCTGGGAATAATAATTAAAAAATAACAAAAGCCACAACTCGATGGAATTTCCCATTTCTCAAAGGCATGTCACTTGCTGGGGACAGTTCTAGGTTGCTCTGTACATTCCCTGCCCTCCTCACAACTCCCTGAGCTGGGTAGTGTTGGCTCTCCCTTACGGGGAAGCCAGGACACCACCTGGAGGCAGGGCACCACCTGAGCTGTTCTGGGGCTCTGCCTTCCCTCCTACGTGCCTCTCTCATGGTGATTGTCTTGGGGAAAGGTGCTTTTGTAGTCAGTGATGGTGACTGAAGCACCCTCAGGAACCCCTTCTCCAAAGCCCAGAACTCTGCCTGGAATATGAGTAGACAACAAAAACAAAAAACAGGGATGGGCACAGGGAGGTGGGCACAAGCTAAGGACCCATGGTGGTACCCAAGTCTCACTGCTTGGAGAGGAAGAGCTGTGTCCAGAAAGTTAGCGTGAGGCCTATATTGGGACGCTGATGTCCTTGATGGATGCTGGTGTGTCATGGCGACCATGCAGCTGACAAGATACTGGCTCTGGGCAGTTATCATGATGAAAGCAATGACTCTCAGGCTAGAAGCGTGCCCAGGGGGCGGGAACCAACCCAGACCAGTGAGGGCGTCCTGAGCACATGCCTCCCTGGCCCCCTGCACTCCTCCCTCTGCAGTCCTACCTTTCTCAGAAGGCTGAGGCTACTTGGCCGCAGCTCAGGAGCCATGCCTGCTTCAAACTTCTTCAGCCATACCCAGTCCCCCTGTTTAGGCGAGAACAAGAGTTTGCCTGCTTTAGTTCACTAGCTGGGTGACCTCAGCACAATCTCACCACCTCATGGCCTCAGTGTCTAACCCCATGAGTGTGCCCTCATCTGTGTTCTGAGCTGGGCCTAGCCTGGCCAATGGAAACAGTAAACAGACTTCTGCTGAGCCTCAGGGAGGACCAGGGCCAGGCTTTGGCTGGTGAACCTAAGGCCCACTCCTCACTTGACCTCTGTGGAGCCCTGTGACCTGGGTAGATAACTTCTGGCAAGCATCTGCTTCCAAGTCTGCAGAGTGAGGCAAGATGAGGCTAGGGAGGACAACCAGGCAGGAGGGTCCTCGCTGGAGTCCAGCTTTACCTTGAAGAGTTCAGGTACCTGCGATATACAAGCTGTGACTCGGGGTTCTAGAAGAGACGTGAGAGAAGGGCAAGAGAGGATGAGGCCCAACTCTCACTGTGGTCCCAGCCCTTTGGTCCCTAGTGCATTGCCTCCATACAGCCTCACCTGCAGCCTGTCGGCTATTGTGTTTTATGCGTCATTAAAACCTCCTTTTGGTAGGAAAAGGAAAAGGTGGGGTTGCCCAGGGGAAAAGGTGGAAAAATAAGCAACAGGAGCCTCATGCTGCTTCCTATGGAAACAATTAGCCAAGTTCAGCAACTGTGGCAGCCATAGGCAAAGAACCATGTATTAGTGAGTAGTTCAACTTGAGACTGATGGTGCCTGAGAAATGGCTGTGTTGTGAGCATCCTTGCCTGTCTGACCATTCACTCTGTAGACTGTCTGTCAGCCGGGGGTCCAGCTTCTACCTGGAGATGTCTGTGCCTTCAAAGCTTTAGAGATGGGGGATCTCACTGCTTGAGCAGGTGGGTGACCTGGGCCAAGGCCAAAGCCAAGTGGCTGAGACCGTCTGATTCCCAAGGTCAGCTCAGGAAGCGTGTAGTAGGAGCAAGGTGCCTTGTTTCTCCCTTCTCCTTCTACTTCCCACGTCTGAGGCTGCTGTCCATGAGCTAGGGCAAGCAGGGAAGGGGCCCCAGAGGCCTAAGACTGTGTCTTCCGCTGGCTTCTTCCAAACGGGACACAGCCTTCTAGGCCTGGTATGGAGCGGCAGCAGCCCTCACCTGGCACAGCGCCATGCTGGTGTGCTCCAGGAAGGCCGGTGGGCTCCTTGCTGACCCCTGGGTCCCCGACCTTGGGCTCCCACCGTCAGCCACACTTCTTGACTCACTGCCGCTGTCCACATGCAGCCTCTGGGGCAGATACAGGGGTGGTCAAGAGGCTAGACCCAGCCTGCCCCTCTGCCTACCTGCCTGCCCAGCCCAGCTCTGCCCACCCACCCGCTGGCTTGGGGTCCGCTGGAGGAAGGTGAGCTCCCGAGCTGTCAGCAGGATCCGATGGGGGCCCCACAGCAGCTGCAGCTGCTGGAGGCCTATCCTGGAGGTGAGAGAAAGGATGGCCTCAGTCAGGCTGTTGGCCCTGCCTCTGATTCAGCACACACACCCTAGCCTTTCCGTATCTCCAACAGTGCCAGTCCCAGGTGCCGAGTACTGTCAAACCTGTCACTGCCACCATAGTGATCAGAGAGCACACTGGCCTTGGGCTCAGCCTGCAACTTCCCAGGGCCTGATGGGCCTACTGGTGCGTAGACCACTTTCCCTGAGGCCTTGTTAGAGGTGAGAGTAGAAGCCTTCCAGATAGGGCTGAGGCTCAGGAACACCTGAATTCGGGTACACGGAGGAGAGAGGTGTTTGCAGAGTGGAGGGATTCCACTCCAGGATGGACCTGCCTTGCTCCTCCCTCGCTGGACAAACAAGAGCCTGAAGCTCAGAGGCTGAGTCTCATTCAGCTTCGTTCTCCCTCAGGTCTCAGACAGACCTCTCAGGAGGCTGCCACGGCTCCTGGCTCTCCTTGAGAGTAGCTGAGAGAGGGAAAGGAGGCAGTGCCCTGAGATCTGGAAGTGGAGGTGAGGAAAGCCCCTGTAGATTGCCAAGGAGACCCCGTAGGACAGGGACTCAGAGAGCCTGAGCCGGGCCAGTCACCCTCACCTGATGAGGTAAGCAAGGACTCCACCAACCAGGGCCAGGACGCAGGCCAGTGTCAGAGTCGGGAGGCTGCCCAGGGGCTGCACACCTGTGCAGAGAAAGACAGTTGTCACTAAAGCAGTGACCATTTCCTCACAGCCCTGCTGCTGCCTTCTCAGGTCGCTGCCCTGTGTGGTCTCTAGCCATCCCTGTCTGTCGCAGGCTGCAGCCCCTGGAGGACCTGGCCTGGCTTTGTCTTCAAGAGTGTCAGTGGGAGCAGTGTGTTTGCTTTGTTCTCTCCTGCTCCTGAGAGGGAGCAGGGGGGTACAGGCAGGAACCACTATTTGTGGAAGGAAAGAGGGGCAGATGAGCGGGTGAGGGCTCCAGCCCTCCCTTCCCAGGACACTTTGGGCACACTGGGATGAGAGATGCTCCGGGGAGGAGCTGGTGTGTAAAGACCAAGGAGGCAGGAGTGCTTTCTTGTGAGAAGATGTGGTTAGGCAAGCTGAGGTGTCACCGGGGTCGGGAATAGAAGCGTTCTGGTCAAGGGAGGCCCGATGGTGTGGCATGTGTTTGGGAAGATGTAAGAGTTGCTGAGTCTGTAGATTAGGGCTGGAAGAAAGGGACAAAAGGAGGCACAGAAAGTTTGAGACAGAACAGGGACATACAAAGTCTGGTCAAACTGTGTCATGGCCACCACAGTGATCACGTGTGCATTAGGGAACATACTTGTACGTATGTACTTATTTACATGTATGTATGTGAGCTTCCCACATATGTCATAAAGGATGACAGCCCAGATGGATGAATAACAGAAATCAGAACTGTGTGGGCCTCTTGCCCCACACGCCCAGCGGTCATAGGAAAATAAACCCTGTACTTGGAGTCAGCAGACTTGAGGCCAGCATGAGCTCAGCTGCTGCTCTCCTGTGTGACTCTGGGTAAGTCCCCAAGGCTTTCTGAACTTCAGTTCTTTAATGGTGTCTATGGAGGGTAATGGCCTACCCACAAGGCCATGAGGCACTTAGAAGATCTGTAAGCTGGGAGCACCTCTAGCCCTGATCATCCAAAGGAGGCCTTGCTGGTCTCTCCTGGGGCTTCTCAGCTAGTGGTCAGGCTTCTCCACAAAGGGCTTCCCCATAGCTCTTCTTTCTATTTGCTCTTGTTTCCTTTGTAGGACTGCCCGTGTGGAAAGTTTTGATAAAGAATGGGTGAGTACACATGGAGAGATGAGATGGATGGGGTGATGGAATGGGTACATAGGTGGGTAGAGGGGTAGATAGGTGGGTTGGTGGTAGATGAAGGATAGGCAGGTGAGAAGACAGATGGGTTGGTCTGTGGGTGGGTGGGTATATGGGTAGATGGATGGATGAAGGAAACATGGGTGTGTGGGTGGACATACATAGAGATGAATGGCTATACAGACGAGAGATTAGTGGGTGATGAGACAGTGGGTTACCTCTTATGCACAGCGTGTTAGGGTCGAACCAGCAGCTGGTATCACGGGCTGGAGGGCCCCCTCCAGGAAAGTGGACAGCCTTTCCCAGGGGCTGCACCTGCCATGTGCCTGTATCCAGGATGTGAGTGGGAACCAGCTGGCTTCCTTCACCATCTGTGTCCAGGATGACATACTGGGCTAGCCTTCTTCCTTCCTCATCCACCCGAATTCTCTGGCCAAAACCAGGCACATCAAGAGCTCTTATGTGGTCCCCTAAGCGAGCCCCGGAGAGCCCTGCTCCATGGGTCTCCGAGCGGTTCAGGGCATGGGCCAGTAGGATGACAGCATCATAAATAGTTCCAAAGAGTGGGGACACCTGCGGAAGAGAGAGGCCTCCATGCCCTCACCCTGGACATCTAGAGGGCCTGCAGGATTGTGCAGACCGCCATCCTCTCCCCGACACAGCCCACTCTTTGGCCAGCCCCACTGAGTGGCCTCACTGTCTCCATGATTACCACCACGGCTGTGTACTACCTCGAACTCAGACGTATCCCAAACCTTCCAAAACTAAAGTTCCTGGTTCCAGCAGGTTCTACCTCTTTGCTCTTTGCTCAGGGCCTTGTCTGGGTACTTCCTGATCCCTCAGAGTTCCACTCAAGTGTCACCTCCTCATGGGGGGCTTCCTGGTCCATCCTGTCCGTGTTGTCCACTCCTCCATTCCAGCCCCTCTCCATCCCTTGAGCCTCGTCTACTTTCTTGGCAGAAAGCGTCACTTTGAATTTGTTTATCATGTTTCTGGCTTGGTGTTTGTGCTCCCCAACAGAACGAAGCTTGTCTTGTTTATCACTGGGCCCCTGACCCCTGACATGGCTGCATATGTGAGACTCGAGTCACATTGTTAAAAGATGAACAACCTCCATCAGCACCTGCATCCCTGTCATCACCTCAAGCCACTACTATTTTAACTCGTTGTGAAGCAGGCACTGGAGTTAAGCCGAGTCCTGTAAGCCGCACCCCACCACTAACGCTTTTCAGATTCACAGTGGTGACCTCAAGAACGAAAAACAAACAAACAAACAAAAAACCCCACTCCCAACATTTTCTTCTTTTAGTCTTTAGCACCTGCTAGAGAGATTTGAGTCAGGAGAAGTAGGAAGTCCCTGGAGAAAGAGGATCTGAAAATTAAGATTATGGGAACCGAGTACGCTGTCACTGGAAGTTACAGCCCAGCAGGAGAGAAAATGAGAGAGAGAGAGAGAGAGAGAACCAGAAAAAGAGGGTGTGAGCTAGGAGAGAGAAACAGTATTAGAGAGAGAGCAGGCACAAGCCCATGCCTATGAGCTAAGCAGGCAGACTCATGTGGCCACAGCGGGGCCTGTAATCAATAAAGTGCACACACACACTGGCTCAGGGCCCCACCCTCTGACACACCCACCTGTTCGGGCTCCAGGTTGGCAGTAGTTCCTCCATTCATCTTACTAACGGTGAAGACGTGGTTCTCAGGACCAGACTCCAGGCTGATAGTGAGGACTGCATCGTAGGCCTCCTGAAGGGGCCCACGGTTATCCAGGGCCAGGTAGGAGTGGTTGCGGTAGGGCAGGGCAAACAGCAGCGTGTCGTAGGGCAGGAAGACCAGTCTCCCGTCTGTCAGGCCCTCCTCCCAAGCACGGTGAAGCAGGGTGGTCTGCTCCAGGCCTCCGAGCAGTGCCGAGTGCATGCACAGCACCACGACTGTACCAACATGGGTCAACATGGCAGGAGTCACCTTTGCACTTCAGCCCTTACCAGAAACCCAAATCCCGAGGCCCTCAGAGCTCCCCAATCTGTGGCCACACTTCTAGCCCCAGCCCAAAGGATTCTGGGTACAGGTGAGATTTGACTTCAATCTGACCCCATAATAATTATGGCTGAGGCCACCAAATCTAGGTGAAAAAAAAATTCCTCTCAGTCAAGAATATCCCTGTGTTAAGATGATCCTCTGACCGTTCATCCCAGCAAGCCACACAAGAACTGCTCCTGCTTCTCATCCACCTCAAGCCTCAGGCCCTGATGACTGCTGATGCATATCAGGAGCTTTCTATGCTGTCCTCAAGTTCCCTCACATGAGGCATTCCATACTGATTGTGGGGGTTTACACATGTAATGCCAGCCCTCAGGACACTGAGACACTGAGGCAGGAGGATCACGAGCTTAAGGCAGCCTGGGTTTACATGGCAACATCCTTTCTCAAGTTAAACACACACACGCACACACACACAGGCACGCAAGCATGCAGCAGCAGCAGCAGCAGCAGCAGCATGAAGATGTCTGTTTATCATTATCAACCTTTCAGGAGAGGAAACTTAGGCATGGAGAGGTTTATTAATTTCCCCATATAATCACCATAGTAGTAGAGCTGAGACCGGAACCCAGGGCTCACTTTCAGTTTATAATACTTAAAAAAATTGCGTATGTGTGTTTTGAAATAGAGTCTTGTGATATAATCCACACTGGCCTCGAACTTGCTAGGTAGCCAGACTACCCTTGAATCTGTGACTCCCCCCTCCCCGCCTCACTCTATCAAGTACTGGGAAAGCAATGGACCCAGCTGACCTTGAACTAAAGACCAAAATTAGCTTCTCTCCTTGCAAGCTGTATTTCTCAGGTCCTGTTTTTTTGCAGTGAGAAAATATCTACCACAGTCCTCATCAACAAGGAGTTCAGTTGCTTCCCCAGGCACAAGACAGAGGGGACCCCGCCCAGGGCGAAGCTCCACAGAGTCCCTCTGCTCCTTTGCTCTCCTCTCACCGCAGGTCCCTGACAGGCTTGTGAGCACGGCAGAGGCGGCCACCGTTGGCTGAGATGAACCTGGGTCCCTACTCCCATCCTTTTCCCTAGAAAATCAAGAAGATGGAACTACCACAGAAGAACAGAGGTCTCCCTGCTGGCCCACACAGAGGTCAGAGTCTGGACGGAGCCCTTTCCTCGGCTGTGTTGTCTACACTGGTGGCCACGAGTTATCTGCAACCCAGACACTGGGAAGAGCTCCTGAGGAAAGACCGGCAGGAACAGGCAGTCAGAAAGCCACGACCACGTCCCACCTGCTTTGCCACTGTTCCATTCAGGGCTGTTGCTCAGACACCCCTTTCTTTCTCTTAGGGGAAGTTGGAGGCACTATTTTGTATTTGGCCACAAGGGGGAGCCAAGAACCACATAACTAGAGAGAAAGCCTAGTCAGGGCACCTCTCTTGACTGTCCGTATCTATCTTCTCTTCACTACCTTATGAGTAAGAGTTTTAAGCTGCCTTGTGCCACTGAAAGACCTATCGAAAAGCACAGAACATTGAAAAGAAAAAACATTGAAAGCACAGACAGGTTTTGGTGGCTTGCCAGAGGCCACACAGCTGGTAGGGCCAGCATGGAACTCCTCCAGTGCCCTCACCATTCTGCCTCCTAAATCTCACTGTCAGCATCATGCTGGAACTCAGTCCCCTGCCGTAGGGGCAGAGGCGTGCTCTCACAGCCTCCTTAGCTGCTCCTATCCTGCTCCATCCGTGGAGAGTCAGACTGTCCCTTATCTTCCTTGGCCTTGAGGCGTGTTGCACGCACACCTTGTGCTTAATAGCACTTCTGTCTCGGATGCCCCTCCCTCTCTTCTCTGTGCCCCTCGTTTCTATTCTGCAGTTGACTCTCATCATTGTCCAGTCCCACCCCCATGTCACCTCCTCTGGGAAGCTCCCTTCACCTCCAGCTTCAGGCTCCTCACAGCTGAGACCCGGCCTGCTGCCGCCAGCCGCCATGATCCCAGAGCTCAGCTGTAGGCACACTTCAGAAAACTGAGTATTCAGATGCTGAGTCAAGCACCCCCCCTGCCCCCGAGGGGAGTGGGGGTGAACATTTGGTCCTGCTCATAACCCTACAGCTTGGGGCTGGGCTCTTGGCCGGGAAACCAAAAGCTTGGGCTTGAGATTTCTGAGAGCGAAGATTATTATTTGTGATACTTCTGCATCAGCTGCCGGAATCAGCTACACTGGAGTAGCACAGGGACCAGGCCAGGGCCCTGAGCACACAGGCTGAAGTCCAATACTGGGATGCACAGAGAGAAACGGCACTTTAGTCTGGTTACAATCTAGGCTCATTTGGACATCACAGATGTTTCCATTAAAATAATAGGGGTAGTAAAAAAAAAAAAATCCAACCAACAACCTGATCCGAGATGAATATGTCCCAACACAGAAACACAAGAGACACGAAAAACCAAGGCAGTGTGACTTTTTGAAAATCTGTAGTTCCAGAGGAACGGCCCATGAAGAGAACAGAATAGATGAAATTCCAAATGGAGAGTTCAAAAGAATGACCCAGAATGTTTAACAGAAAGAGGCTACAGAGAAATTCCTGGATGAATTAAAAGAGAACACACATAAACAGCCGATAAAATAAGTCAATACATGAACTGAACAAACAGGTCTATCATAATAATAGCAGAGGTGGAAATGCTGTCCATAACCTCTTAGTTTTAGACTTTCTGTTGAGAAATCTGCATTATTATGCTAGACCTGAACGCACCACCAAGCTACCTTTCATATTATATTTCTATATAAAAAAGTAAGGAGATGCACAACACTGAGCCAGCACCATACACAAATGGGAAGATAAACACATCCATGAGGACATGAGAAAGAACAAAGTACACTAGAAAAATATGTAAGCCATTTAGCATTGGAAAAGTACCAAACACTATAAAAATAACAACGTGACAGAGAAGAATGCACACATTTCAATGACAACACTGAACGTTAACAGTTTCAGTTCATCAGTTGAAAGACATGATTAACAGATTAGATTTAAAACAAAAACAGAACTTTCTATTTGTTGTCTGTAGGAAATACACCTCACTGACAAAGACAGCCTTTTTGGTGAGAGGATAATAAAAGATATTCCAAGTTAATGGAACTAGAAGGCAGGCAGTTATTCTAACATCTGGGTAAATGGACTTCGAATTTTAAAAAAGTCGGAAGAGATAAAGAAAGTCAATATGTTTGATTAAAGGAACCATCTATTGGGATACCGCAAACGCACCCAATTTCATAAGACACGTCATACTGGACGTAAAGGCACCGGCTGCTCTGACAGTAACAGTGGACTTCTTGGCTGCATTTAAGGACACAAAGCAACTCTTAACAAACAAAAAGAGAACCCTAAATAATTTTATCTACTCTATCTGAGAACAGTAGACTAAAACTATAAATTGATAGCAAGAGGAACTACAGAAACTGGAAATTGGACCACAGAGTACTGAATGATGAATGGATCATCAGACAATTCAGAAGGTGAGTTTTTAAATTCCTAGAATCAAATGAAAATGAGAATACAATATACCAGGACCTGTGGGATATAATGAAAGTAGCTCTAAGAACTACTGTATATATATATATGTGTGTGTGTATGTATGTATATATATATATATATGTATAAATACATATATGCCTGTGTATATATATATATGCCTATATATGGATATATATGTATATACAGATATACATACGAGGTCATGTGCGTGCGCGCGCACACACACACACACACTGTTCTATTTTATTTCATTCTCAAACCTATTCTTTTCATTCTCCTCTATTTATTTTTTATAATGATAGCTATGATTATATCTTTGTGATACTCCTGGAACTTTCATTTCAAAAGCAACTGCCAAGAAGTGGGCTTCATGGCCCACATTTGAACCAGAGCTTAGGACCCTGTTGATCTGCTGTGTGGCGAGTTCCTTGCTGTCTCTGGACTGCCAAATGAAGGCATCAGCAAGCTCGGCTTACAGGGTTGTTGCTGGGACACTTGGCAAGTGCTCAGCCCAGTTGATACAGCAAAGGCCTCCTTGTGGCTGTGGGAAGCCCAGGCTCCCTACAGCAGGGAGAGACCCTGATATACTTACTTTTCAGACCATGCACACCATGCAGCTGCTTGCAGACCTCTGTGGCCCCCTTCTCTCCGGGTCCCAAAGAGGTCACTAATCCGATGGGCAGCCCATGGGCCCTGAAAGCTGTGGCCAGCTGCTGGGCTGTGGTTACCCAGATGTCCTGGTGAGAGGACACGATGGCCAAACGAGCCCAGCCAAAGTGTCTCATGACAGACAGTAGCACGTGGGTGGCAGAAGGCAAAGTAGGCACTAAGTCACCTCCGCCCTTGGGAGCCCCGCAGGCCCAGGTGAAGAGGGACTTGCCCCAGCTTTGGGCCAGCAGGGCTGCCGCTGGGCAGTACCCAGGATTGACAGGGCCCACAAAAGCAGCCACTGTGTTCTTGTGGGCCACGAATGTAGCCAGGGCATGAGGGGCGTCACAGCCTGTGGGGATGACCTTGAAATCCAGCTGCGAGCTCTGCAGCAGCGAGGCATCCTTATTGACTCCATCTACAGCCAGCTGGGCAGCCACGCTGGGGAGGGCCTGGGAAAAGATGGGGTCACAGTCCCAGGGACCCAGAACCCCAATGGTAAAGGCTTCTCCTGCCCATGCCGGCAGGGAAAGGGAGTCAGCCCACAGAAGGACACCCCAAAGTACCACAGAGAGGACTGATGTGGAAGAGGGTGTCCTCAGATGATGAGTAACAGTGAGCACCCAAGGGCTCTGGCAGGGTAGGCAGGTCGTCCTGTATGGTGCCGCCCAGTGCTGGCCTTCGGGGTGCAGGGCCTGCTGCAGACCTGGGGAAGGGTGTGGAGAAGTCTTGCTGTCTAGCAGAGACCCAGGATGGAACTCAGATAGGACGTTGCCTACAGGAATAACATCCAGACCCAACCCCTTGCCTCCATCCATAGATCCCAGGCTAGCCTCTGGGGATCTCTGAGCCTTGTCTTCCTCCTCTGAAAATACGGACAACAAACTGCCCAGAAGTCTTACTGTGGTGACAAATGGCATCACGTGCAGCATTCAGCATAATGCCAGCACTTACGGTCCTACCTCTTTTACCCTGTGAATGCTGTTCCTTCTTTAACTCATCTTTAAGGAGGAGCAAGCACTCCCTACCCTGTTACTGTTCTCCACAAGCCCAGCTCCACTCAAAGGCCCTGGCTGCTGAGTCCAAGGCAAAGCACATGTGCCAAGTCCTGTAGCTCACCTGTTACAGCTGCTCACCAAGAAAAATGTAGCTACACACACACACACAATATCCATGTGTGTCCCACTCCTCACATCCTTCACAGACCTGTCTGGATCAAAAGGTCTCTCCACCCCACTGCACAGAGGAAGAAGCTAGGGGAACTGGCATAGAGTTAGAGAGATGGGACCCAAGAGAATGGGCCCAAGTCTGTTCAGCTTCTGCCCCACCCCAAACACGACCTTTTCAACCAGGACACTTGGACTTCCCTCCGAGTATACTTGACTGCGTTCTACAAAACAGCAGTAAGATTCCTCCACCTAAGGTCCTGCTGGCCAGACCCCCAGTGGCCTGCAGGGGCTCATAGAGAGCTGAGGACCAGCTTCAGGGTAAGGCAAGGGCTGGCTTTCATTCCAGCTGTGTCTGGTGTGGCACAGGGTCCACGCCCCTTGTCACTGCCCACACTATTCTCGTGTTGGAGGCTCTTGGTACCATCCTGAAGCCCTTCTTGGCCTCTGCCTGAAAACCTGCTATAGCCTTCTCCATTCACGGGGCCTGGCTAGTTTTCTGCCCACAGCATTTATGTAGTCACATTGAGAAGCCCAGGAAGGAATGGAACGGGAACCATTCTGGCCCCCAGGAAACTGCCAAATGAGTGGGAGGCAGATCTCAGCCAAGGACAGCATTAGCCATGAGTTTGGGCCATAGACAGGAGGATGAGTAATGAAGAGTAAGGGCAGTGAGGGCTTCCTGGAGAAGAGGAAAAAGGGGAGGGGGGAGGATGGGAGGGAGGGAGAGAGAGAACCATATAGAAGACTCACTTACTAGCTCCTAATTTGGGGCTAGAAACTGAGGTTCGTTGAGCCTCCATTTTGCAACCTGCAAAGTGGAGGTGCAAATGGTTACCTGGTGGATTGTGGAAACTAGAATGTACCATGTCTATAGTGGGGCGAATGCCCTGTGCTTACTAAGCAGAACTACCCTGTCTCTTCCTCATTGCCACCCCAGTATCTTCAGGTCTCTGAGGGGAGGCAGAAGATTCAGAGAGATCAGGAAGAGCTGAGCAGGAAGGAGGTAGGGAGTTGGGTCTCAGCTTCACGCTACATCAGCCTCTCTGTGCTGTTTCCAACACTTTGCCCTGATGACTGAAGCCTTCTATTCTCTGCTTCTCCCTACTCAGGGCTGGAGGACAAAAAGCTACTGTCCTGTTGTCTCTGAACCCGCTGTTATGATGATCAGAGAGTGGTCTCCTGCCCTCACAGAGTGTCCCTCAGGGCTATGGAATGAGCTCTGGCTGTATAGCTTCTTTGTCTGTCCCATGAGCTTTTCCTGGTCAAAGTGGCAGCCATTTCCCTCAGTGTGTTTCCTGAAGGGGCCTGACTTTGCCGGGGACATCAAGAAGCTCCCAAAGAGACTCTCTAACTCTCATTCTTAAAGAAGGAAACTGATTCTGGGTAGGATAGTGACTTGTCCAAGGTCTCACAAAGGTAGGACCAAATCAGAGCCAGAACTTAGCCTCCAACCTCCCAGCCAAAGATAAATCAATCCCTACCCTCACTCCTCTGTCTGCCTATCATCTCTCTCGCTCATCTCTCTCTCATTCATCTATCTATGTCATATGGAGCATCAGAGCCTTAAGGATGCAGACATCTAAGTCAGCCCTCTGTGTCCAGATGGGGACCCTGAAGCCCAGAGAGGAGGCTGCTCTTCCCTTGGTCCTGCAAAACACCAGTATGACCCCTGACCTAAGGACCCGCTGGTCAGACTCAGTGCCTCAAAAAATCCTGCAGGCAATGACTCGCAGAGAAGCACAGAGGGCTCACAGCCCCATCAGGCCAGTTGTGGGACACAGCAGGGGCCGCCTTTTACTGCAGCCCTGGCCCTGATTTGTAGCACCAGGGTCCAGGCCTCTTTCTGTGGCCCGGTTTTCCCAACTGTGCAAAAAGAGCCCAGTTTTCACCTTGAAGCCTCTAACACCTTTCCTCACTGATGTTCCATGCACTGGTGGAACATGGAAACAGATCTCTCCCTGAGCTCAGCCATATTCACCTCCACCTATTCCCCTGAAGGGCATAAGCTCCTCTGGTCCATCTGCACTGAGCACAATGGGCCTAAGGGCCACCCTGAAGTGGGGAGCGAATTCATATTTTTTGGATTTGAAGATGGCCTTAGGATTAGCCACAGGTTGCTTGGCTTATGAGGTCCCTCACATGGAATGAAAGGGTTCCATCAGATCCCCGGAGCTCAAAGTCAGAGAAGCTTTTGTCTGCATGAAGACACCAAACTAGAGAGTGACAGCAGCCCACAGGACAAGGGTGGAGAATTCCTGTCAGCCCAGGGTCACCCTCCTGACCCCAGCCTGGTCCTTTTTGCTCTCTTCAGGGCATGCTCCTCACAGACTCACCTGCCATGATGGGCTCTCAGAGTGGACACGGAGTCTCTGTCAGTCCTGAGGCTCTCACACCAGGGGCCTCAGAGGTCAATCTCTGATCACCCTCTGACCTGGGCCTCCCATTTTCTGTGTGGTGTCTGAGCCGCTCTTTGCTCCTGTTGTCTGCCAGCTTTGCGAGATTCCCGCCTACGGAGAGCCACAGATATGGCTCGTTCCCTCCCTGTCCCCCTTAGGAGCCCAGAGAAACCATTTGGAAAATTGAATCTGTTCAGACACCAGGGCTCTGGGGAGCCCCATCAGAAAGGAAGGGAGAGTGGAGAATAGGAGAGAGGGGGAGAAGGGAAGAGGGTGTCTTCAGCACGGTGGACAGCTCCGGCCACTCGGGGGGCACCCAGAAGGCAGGGAGTCCAGACAAGTCACAGAACCCAGCATTAATGAGCACCCATCAAGTGCCAAGAGCAATCCACTCTCCCCAGAGAGGCACAGTTATTCCTTTTACTTCAGAGACTAATGAAGTCTGCCCAGAGAGGCTAGGAAATTTGTCCGAGGGTACAGACCCAGTGAGCAGCATGGCTGACTGACTGTGGGTCCACAGAGCATGTTGGTGCACCATCCAGGTCTTCTCTGTCCAGTGGATAAGACCTCAGCCCAGTCGGCTTGCCCACACCTCTCCTCCACCTGCTCCCTCTTACCTGGGGTGACTAGCTTTTCTTGAAGTCCCTGTGTCTGCTGAGGGCTGGCATCATGCCCCACCTCACCCCTTAGATGACTTTGTCAAGTGGAAACAGGTCTTGCTTTCTTTGTCACCTTGTGCAATCATCTGTAACTTACTAAGCACTCACTTCCCTGTCCTACCATGGAGTGAGCCGAAGTCACAGTTTTTCCTTCCCTCAACTATACCCCTAATTCTTGCCATTTCCCCTGAATTCCTCTACCTCCCAGGCATTGTCCTAGATAGCTGAGTCCCATTGACACATAGAAAAAACAAAGTTTTTTTTGTTTGTTTGTTTTTGTTTTTTATTTTTGGTCTTTATGGATCTTTTCTTGCAGGAATAGGGAAGGGCACAAGAGTCAACAAATAATAAAGCTGGTGGATGTCATTTTGCTGTGGGAAAATGACAGATGTTATAAAATTAGGCAAAGAACATCAGCAGTTCCAGATACACAATTCAGCGCGTGAGTTTTATATTACTATGCAGTCTTTGGCATGATTTTAACAGCCCAGAGAGAGTAGATAAGTTGGGTTTTTTGTTTTGTTTTATTTTTTGTTTTCTGTTCTTCAGTATTTTTCAAGACAGGGTTTCTCTGTGTAGTCTTGGCTGTCCTAGACTCACTCTGTAGACCAGGCTGGCCTTGAACTCATAGAGATCCACCTGCCTCTCGAGTGCTGGGATTACAGGTGTGTGCAACCACTCCCAGCTTGGCTGTGTTTTTTATATAGCCCAATATAGCTCTTGGGGGCTTCAGGTCCCTGTTTATGTGCCAGACATAGGCCCGTTGGTTCTCAAATCCATTCTCTGATTCCTAAGCAGGCTGCCTAATCTCAGAGAAAGGAGCAAGGGAGGAAAGCTGGGACTGGATTCACTGCAGGGGTTAACCCAGAAACTGCCCTACCCAGCACCCTATGCCATGGCTTCTGGCTGGTTTTAGCCAATAGGAGATACAGACATCAAAAGGACAGAGAAAGGGAGACACTGGGAAATTCTCCTCCTCACTCTCCAGGTGTATTCTGGGTTTGTTACACTCTTCTTCCTGTTTCTGTGTGTACTTGAAAAGTTTTTACAATTTAATGACCTCAACAAACAATGCAGGGACATAAATTTCACCACATATTCCTCAGCACCAATAGGTTAGCTTTTTCTTGCACAGCACTTTAAAAAATCTTGAATTATATTTTTAATGTTACATTACATATATCTACAAAGTCAGTGTTTTCCTACAGGTTCTATGGGTCCTAAAATCTAAACATAGGTTAGCTGGAGACGTCTGCTTCTTGTCTGATAGGCTGCAGTCAGGAGTCAGGCCTGTATCTCATCGTGAGCCTCAACCGGGAAAAGATCTGTTCCCAAGCTCCCCTGGCCATGGGCTGTGGGATCCACTTGCCCCTTCAAAGCCAACCTTACCTGGTGTAATGTTAATTGAGCTAACCACCTCATCACATTCTTTGTTTGGAAGCCAGTGACAAGTATCCCCTCACTCACGGGGAGTGGAGGCCGCATTAGACAGACATGAGGCATAGAACAGTCTGTTCACTGAAGGCACGTAATAGGGGAAGACACTGGCAGCTCAAGGTTCAAAGATAAGTCATTTTCTTTAGTGAGCAGGAACAGGAATCGAACTGCAGGCCTCACGCGCCCGCAGTTCTGCCAGGGGACGGCATAGCTGCCTCCCCACCACCCTGCTTCCTTGTATCTCTTTCCTGCTCTCGTCCATGCTCCAGGTGGGACCTGTCCTTTGTCTGAGTCCACCTGTTAAGAAGGTCCCTGTGGAGTCCATTTTTACTACAGGGCTGACATTGGCCTGCGACAGTTCTGCCCTTACACGGCTGCTGGGAATGAAGACCTCAAGATGATTTGTGGTGCAGCAGGGTGACTTTTCCTCAGACACTAGATGCCGCTGGCAATCATGGGGGCAAGGCAGCTTTTGGTTTTTTCTTTTTAGAAGGAACAATTATATTGTCATAGGGTTGTTGGAACTGCCAGGTAGGTGAAACAAAGCCTCCTTCCTGAAGGATCCGAGCATAGTCTTTACAGGGTTAGCCAGGACTGTAGGACAAGGCAATTCTTACCATACGCCTTCTCGCCATCGTGGGGCACTAGCAAAACTCCCTATAAAGACTGAGTTCTGACACTTGGGCTTATTTAGTAGTTCCTTCTTGGACTGACTCGGGGTCCTGAGGAGTTCACGTGGCCGGGGATAGGTCGAACCTGCTTCATCCGAAGAACTGCGGCACGCTCGAGACCAGTGGTTCTCAACCTGTGGGTCGTGGCCCTGTTGGAGCTCACATATCGGATCTTTATGCTATGATTCCTAATAGTAACAAAATCACAGTTATGAAGTAACAGAGAGATAATTTGATGATTAGGGGTCACTACAACATGAGGAACTGTATTAAAGGGTCACAGCATTAGGAAGGTTGAGAAGCACTGCTCTAGAGAATTGGGGGGCTCCAAAATCCCGAGTCCAAGGTCACGGAAATAGCAACAGATGAGCTTCCTTCAGCGTGTTTGTGCGGCAAGAGAGGAAGAGGCCCTCTTGTCGTCACTCCTTGGTTCCTGGCCCATTGCTCTGACTCTGGAAGACTAGACTGCACTCCATCATGAAGGATGTTGTCCCAACTGACCCTGTGCCCTTGCAGTAAAATGCCCCTTTCCAGTCTGGGGGCAATGGCGGGTGCTGGTAAAAATGGGGCGGTCTGTGTGACTACACTCACAGCCTCGGCAAAAGCACTGGGATGAGAAAAGCGATGTATGTGCAGTTCAGCTTCCAACTCCTGACTCTTCTGTGAGGAGAGTTCTGACAGGGTCAGCATGTCTCCAGGTAGCAGGGCGAATGAATACCCTCTCCTCTACAGGAACTGTTGCTCAGCAGCGACCTCTGCTGTCGGTCACTTGGGCACACAGCCGTGGCATAGTCCTAATGCAAGCCAAGTGCATCTGCAGGCTACATTCTGGCTGTCAAGGCTACTTCCGCCTATGGATGGACGCCTAGGGTGTGGGAGAAGCAGCTGGCGGACAGCCATAGGTCATCTTGTATATATAAGTGCTCAGGACATGCACATGTACACACACACACACACACACACACACACACACACACACACACTTAATTTAGCGCATGCTGTCTGACTCCTCTGGTCTGTTTCATCTGAAACAGATGACGCTGAAGCTGATCAAGAGCATGGAAGCTCTGCAGGAGGTCCCGGACGCTGCAGGAGAGAAATCTGCTGTGGGCCTTGAAGAACAATCAGCCTCCTCTTATTCCTCTCTGAAAAATGTCCCAGTGTGCGGTTCCTTGATGCGGATGTGGGTGACTGCAGGGACATTGCTGCAAACTGCAGTTGAATGCGTGCTGATCTTCCACGTCTCATAAAAGGGGCGAGAAGGTGGATGACGCTTTCTAGAGCAAACAAGGGGAAAAAAAGCTGAAAGCCGCTGTTAATGAATTTGCCTCATCGTGTCCTCAAAAAGCAAAAACAGCCACAAGCTGGTTAAAGCTTATGGTTTTTGTTTGTTTGTTTGTTTTGTGAAAAGTATGAAGTACAGGGATTTATACCCACCTGCCATTTGATTATAAATGACAATGAAACATTAATTCTACTTTAAAAAGTTAAATTTAAAAAGGCCCACGGCTCCTGAGAAACAATGCTAGAGGGAGACGTCTGGCCTCGCCCATCCCCGCCCCGCACAGGTGCACCCACACCTCCGGCCCCAGCCCCACACCCTACCCCATGAACATGCACACACAAAAAGGAAAGAAAATAGAATCAAAGGAAGGGAGGGGAGGAAGAAGGAAGGACGCCCCAACATGGCTTTAGCCCATCTGGGCCCTGGGGGACAAACTCCCGAATTGTTGGCTCTCCCTGGCACTTACCACTGCAACAGCCAGGATTCTCAACACCTCCTTAGCATCCAATTAGCAAAAGGCATAACTATAATCTACTGCCACGATGCTCTGTGGAATACCCAGCTGATCCAAGCTTCCCCCGAGCCCTGTTATGACAGAGAACCGAAGCGCTGGATAGCTCCGGGGACAAAACAACAGGGACCTCTGTTGTTCTGCGCTCCGCTTCTCATGTACTTCCTGATAGGAACAGGACGGAAGATATTTTTCTAGGACAAGAGCCACGGAGCGGATGTCAGAGACTGTGTTGACGCAATGCAGTAAAGAGAGGCATGATGGTGGTTTGCATGGGAATGGCCCCTTGAGACTCACTTCCCAGAATGCTTGGCTCATGGGGATACTTGCCACTATCAGTTGGTGTGGCCTGGCTGGAGGAAGTGTGTCAAAGGAGGTGGC